TAAATTTGCATAGTTTCCTCTGTGTGGAAGCATCTTTGAATTTGTAGTGAAACTGCTGCTGCTGGTTTTTTTTTAGTACCAGTTTTTATGGAAGGTGTGGGGTGGTTTCCATGTGCCTGGATGCAGTTAAGAATATTTGGGGGTTTTAGGTTTTTTTTTGCCATGTTATTGTTAGATACTGAAGTTGGAGAATGTTTGAGGTTGCCTGTTCTCAGATCTCTTCAGAGCCACTCCAGTTTCTCGTAGCCATTGTTCTGTGGTTCAGTTGATCCCCAGTTGTGCCCAGTTAACTGTAGGAGATCATAGAATCCCAGAATGGTTTGGGTTGGAAGGGACCTTCAGGCCCATCTTGTTCCAACCTCTGCCATGGGCAGGGACACCTTCCACTAGCCCAGGTTGCTCCAAACTCTGTCCGCTTCCAGGGATGGGGCAGCCACAGCTTCTCTGGGCAGCCTGTGCCAGGGCCTGCCCACCCTCACAGGGAAGGATTCCTTCCCAACATCCCACCTAAACCCTGCTCTCTGGCAGCGGGAAGCCATTCCCTGTGTCCTGTCACTCCAGGCCCTTGTCCAAAGTGCCTCTCCCTCTTTTATAAGCCCCCTTTAGGTACTGGAAGGGATATTTGCTGCAGGTTTCCAAGTGTTAAAACTTGAAAGAGCTTCCTATCTCACTGACCAGAAGACCAAGCAGCATTCCCTTAAATTCCTGGGGAAGAAAAGACCTAACTTTGTGAAACAGCAAAAGCAAGTTACATTTGTATGGAAGGATTCCAAATACATTGGGCATCTTCAGCAGTTTATTTCCTAGAGGAGTTAGTTGCATACTTTGGTGTCTGCTCAGATTTCATTGTTGAAGTGAGAGCAGCCTGATGTACTGGATGGTGTCCCTGCCCATGGCAGGGGCTGGAATGAGCTGAGCTTCAAGGTCCTTTCCAACCTGAACCGTCCTGGGATTCTGTGATGTGATGGTGTGACTGCCATAAACTTAAATGGACTCTAATACTGGAAACCTGTGACAGTTAAATCTCCTGGAAGCAAGAAATAACAATTAAGAATTACTCTCTTGTTTATTATTAGGATGAGCTAGACTGGTCCCAGTGCTGCTGGGCAGACTTTGCAGAGCTGGCTGGTCATGCAATCCTGGAGGATTCAGCAGCATTTGTTGCCCGTGTTAATACATTTAAAGGAAATGTTTTGTTGTCCAGAATTTGTATGAAGCAGTTAGTTTGTGATCCTGGCTGAGTGGCTGCCCTTGGACTTATTTGAGGGAAGATTTTTTTTCTTTTGTGCACAGGATGCACATGATTCCTAAAAAATTCCCAGCAGTGCTGGCTGCTGATCGTGGCTGTGAGAACTACAGACCTGAGTGGAAAATTAGGAATTTACACTGTTAGTGATTAGAGATTACCTGTTCCACTGTGTCAGAACAGCAGCAGGGTGATGGTGTGGGGTGGGCTATAAATCAGGAAGGGGAAGAAAGGGGGAGGCTGGTGGAAGTTCACACCACAGCCGTGGCAGTGGGATGATCTTCTGAAAGAAATTAGAAACCATCAGAGCCACAGCATGGTTTGGCTTGGATGGGACCCCAAAGATCATCTAGTTCCAACCCCCAGCCTTGTGGGTTTTTTCCTGAAGGCTCAGTCTTGGCTCTGCTGCCTTTTTAGAGGCCATTTTTAGGGCTTCTCACCTACCAGCACCTTGGATGTGGCATTAAGCCGCTCCAAGAGGTCACTTTTTTAAAATGCTGCCGATTTTCTGTTCAAACCCCACAGAACAGGTGCACAGTTGTGTTCTGAGCTGGTCGGGTCGGGAGCTCACGGGAAGGCGTCTCTGGAGCGGCCGGGCTTTGTGGTCGCCGCGAGCTCAGGCGGGCTGGGCGTGCTGTTGATGCTCCCTTGGCTGGAGTTGGGATGTTTTGGGGTGTTTTTTTCCAGCTTGGCTCCAATCAATGCAGCGCTGGGGGCCCTTCATTAGCCGCTCCTGCTCCCACGGAGCTGTTGGGATGCAGAGCCACCGGCAGCCTGTAGCTTGGGCGGGTGCCCCGGAGCTCAGCAGCGTTGAGCTGATTGACTCAGCTATAAAGGCCCCAGCCTCCAACAGCAAACGCAATCAATAAATCTTTTGTTGGTAAATAATTGCTATCGAACGGGGGTTTTTAATATAAATTTATGAGTGGTGTTTTATCACAGCTTGAGGCTACGGCGAGCCGCTGAGTGATGGATTTCGGATCGCACTTACATTCATTACATTAACTTTGTAAGTTATTTAAAGCTTGTACACTTAACATTGCTTTTGGCTTGCAATGACCTCCTGGGAGTAGAAGGTAGCACAAGGCATTGCTAATAAAGAGCTGGTGGAAGGTCCAGGCAGCTCCTCTGTTTGCTTTGTGTTCCTCGAGCAGAGCCCGGGGAGGGAGGTCCGTGCACTCCAGTTGGGGCCTTTTTCCTCCGGCTCCTTAAAAACAGAAGCTGCAGGAGTCTGCTGGGAGAAGCCATTCCTCTGTCAGGCAGACACAGAATTGCAATTTTGGAGGGAAGGTGGTAAAAAAAAAAAAAAAAAAAAGGCGTGAAATTGTTCCCCTGTTTGTGTGGAAATTGGAGGTGTTAAATCCTCAGTGTTGAGTCTGGAGGCTTTGGGACAGCTACACCCAACTGCAGATGGAAGACTAAGAAGTGAAAGGTTTCATATAAATTAGGGAAAATGGTGTTATCAATTAATAATCATTTGAGGCAGAGATTATTTAGACCAAAAAAAAGTGGGTGTTTGGAAGTAGGAGGTGGGCTTGATCTCTTACTGCTCAGCTTGGGGACCAAGGTGGGGTTTGCAGCGTGTTCTGTGTAGGTTGGGGATCTGTTTGAGGGGGACTGGGGCGTGCCCAAGCTGCCTCTCAGTTGCCTCAGAGGTACCAGAGGTCAGTGGGGAACCCCTGAACTCATTTCCCAGGCACAGTATCTGATGTGACTTAAACACAGACATAAAGTGACTGAAGCAAAGGGATTTTTCTTTAAAGGAACATTTCTTGTCATATCAGGGCCATTTATTTTTTTTTTTTTAAATTTAGTTAACGTTAAAGTGCATTTATAACTGATATAAACTCCGATTCTACGACCGTTTCTCCAGATCATTCTATAAAATTATCACAAATTGGTGGCCCTGGGGGGAAAGATGTGGTTTATATGGGCTACTTCACTTTATAACAGCAAGTCCTTGTGTTCAGAGCAGTTTCCTCTCCAGGTACTTTAAGATACCTTTAATTCTCACATAATGTGAAAATGAATGTGTTTGCCAAAGGAATGCCTGAAGGAAATGGATTGGGAGGTCTGGTTTGTTAGTTAGGCACACAAATAGGTGCATCATTCATATCTAATGCTGAGCTGGATTTTGTTTTTACATCAAGCACAGAATTCCACTTTAAAAGTCTGGTGAAACCTCGTTTTGAATAGATTTCTTCATTTAGATCCATAGCTAGAATGTCAGAATTCACACCTAGATAGGAGCAAAGCTTCTGTGTGGTCAAAATCATGACTGCAGTAGGTTTTTACTATTTGTTGAGTTTATAATTGGCAATTGATAATTGAACTGATAATTGTGGAAGTAATTACATGTTGTCTGTATGGCAAAGGTGTGAAGTACATAAACTTTATTTTGTCCAAAAATTCAAAAAAAAAAAATTAAAAAAAAGGCAGAGGGGGGAAAAAAAAAAAGATCACCATTGTGTTCCTTACTGCTTTTTTTTTTCCCCCCATTAAAAGGTCTGAAGAACAAACCAGCACAGGGAAAGTGTAATTTTTGATCCCCACGGCACAGCACTAACTAGAATTGGGTCCCCCTGAACGGCAGCGAACGTGCTGCAGGTGAGGTATGAAAGATGGGAAAGGTGAAGCCACGGCTCACCTCCTATAGACAAACAGGCGAGTCAAAGGCAGAAACAAGCTTTCATTTTTTTAATAGAAGAAAACAACGTCTGCCACCGCTGGCACGCGGTAATTGGGCTGTGCCGCAGGAGCTTCTGTGAGGAGGCGGTGCAGGAGCCTCATTCTCCTTGAAAAAGTTCCATTCTGGCAAGGAACAGCACGAGGAAAATGAAGACGTGATCCCCAGGCAGTCGGGGAGTTGGGAGTTTGGGTGGCTGTGTTAATTCAGGGATCCAGCACGAGCTTTTCCCCACGGTCCCATCCACGGCTTGGGTTGAGATGGGAAGGGTTCCCCTCTCAAGTTGTGTCCCGAGTGCGTGGCCAGGAGCAGGCAGGTGTGAGTGGGGCTTTTCCACTGGGATCCCCCCTGGTGTTGCCCAGGGAGAGCTGTTGGGTTGTGTGGAGAGTGGCGAGGGACTTCAGCTGGAAGCTGTGACATCTGGAATTCTGCTGGCTCTGGAGGACTTCTGCTTGGGCAGAGCTGGCCTGTGTCCCCTCCTGGCTTTGGGATCGGCTCTGCAGAGACTTCATAAAGCTGCAGGCTTAATGGGAAAACAAACATCAGAACTTGCTGTCAAGGCTTTAACCTGCTCGGACAGGAACAGCTCCGTGGCAGTCGGAAGCACCGTTCTGTGTTCTGATTTCCCTTTATTTTGATTGCCTTGGCAGAGGAGAAGGGACAGCCTCATTTTGTGGGGGTTAGGGAACTGCAGTTTGTGTTGGTTTAGGTTCCTGGTTATGATTCAGTGAAGTGTGTGCTTGTGTCTCTGGCACTGGTGTATGGTGTGGTAGGTACTGTCCACAGTGTCTCCACCTAGACATTCCAGTAAGACTCCTGTAACCAAAGTACTGTGTGATTCATTAGGAGCTGCCTTCTGGCTTGGTGTTGGACAGCATTTCCTCCTAAAAGGCAAAACAGTGAAGCTGCTGATGGAGGCAGCGTTCCTCATGGGAAGGGCAGGGGAGAAGGAGTCATTACAGGAAGAAGCGTATCTGAAAATGCTGGCAGTGGTCTCTCTCTTGCTGGGTCTCAAGTAGGTGTGCACTGGCCAGAGGGTGTTTAACCTCTCCTCTCTCCCCCTCCCAGGGAATGCTGCTGAAGAGGAGTGGCAAGTCACTGAACAAGGAGTGGAAGAAGAAGTACGTGACGTTGTGCGACAACGGGGTGCTGACCTACCACCCGAGCTTACACGTGAGTACAGCGCTTCTCGGGGTGTTCAACGGCACCAGGCCCTCGGCAAACAGTGTCATACAAGGATTTCTTCCGCCCCCTTTGGTGGGGGAACTTCTTTCTCTCTCTTCGTTCCCCTCCCTCTCAAAGAACCATAATCTGAGATAAAACTCCCTGGTGCGAGTCTGAGAACAGTCCAGTTCCTCTGAATCCCCTGGGGATGAGGCTCCCTTGCATCCCAAGAGGCAGCTGAAACAGTCTAAGTCTGTATTTTCTTCTTGTTCTTTTGTGGACTTATTGTTGATCCCAGGATTAAAAAAACAGAAACCTTTTATAAGAAAAAGTTTCCCAGCTGTAGCCAAGAGCGAGGAGAGGTCTTAGTCAGTGTGCAGTGGTTGTGGTTTATTCAGGAGTAGTTCTGAGCAGCCTTTTGGAAATTAGCTATTAAAACATGTCCTACACAGGTTTTCCATGTTGAGGCATCTGTTGCTGTCCCAAGGATGCTGTCTGTCCCTCTCACTGCCTCTGACACAATCCCCGGGTATGGATTTTGGGGATGGAAGGAGCACAGTGATCTGACTCAGGACTAGCCCACCCCAAAACCCATGGTGTGACCCTCACCAAGATCTTTATAATCATGTCTGGCCTTACGTTTTATCATCATCCCATATAGGAAAGTTGTAGGGTGGACACTCATGACGTTTTTAGGGCCGGTTTTTTCTAAACCTGTTGGTGACATTTTGGGCTCCCGGGCAATTTTCCATTGGGGAGTGAGAATCAAGGTTTGGATCAGATGCCTTTTTTTATAAGCTCTGAGGTTTACGGACCTGCACCTGGGACTGGCAGGAAACCCTTAGCTTCGGATGGGTGGTTCTGAGGAGCATGGAACCGTGGAATCATTCAGGTTGGAAAAGACCTCTGAGATCATCAGGTCCAACCATTAACCCAGCACTGCCCAACCACCACTAAACCACGTCCCCAGGTGTCACATCCACGTGTCTGGCCACACAGATGCTGTGCTTGCACCTGTTTGCTGTTCCCTGACTGTGGAATGTTACCCCTTTCTCTGGGCTTTCATGGTCTCGGGTCCTGCCAGAGTAATACTTTGCCTGTTTTCTGATGTTACATCCATGTCTCTTAAAAACTGTTTGGTAAATTAGATGACAAGTACCTTCCAGGTATTGCTGCTTTCCCTCAGAATCCCTTCTTTCCCCTCAGCCCCTGTGTTCTGGAGCAAGGTTTTCACTGCTCCTTTGTGGGGCGTAGTTCAAGTCTTTTCTGTCTGATTTGGCCTCTCTTAGTGCCTCTGAATGCGGGTGGTTCTGCTGTGAAGCAGTCCTGGAACACCCAAACTGTGTGTTGGTGTTACTCCCAGAAGGGCAGCACAGGTGCTGTGTGCCTTTAGGGCGCTCCCCTCCGGAATTTCCCTGGGATTGCGTTGGCCAGCTCTGCGTCACCGAGCCAGGAGGAGGCAAGGTGGCTGTTGTCTGGTGCCTTCCTGGTGTGGTGGAAGGGCTCTATTGTCCCTGGCAGTGCCGTGCACGTGCTAGTTTCTCATTGCTTTTGCAGACAATAGAGAAATTCTTCTCCACAGGCTTCCCTGGAGCTGCAGCATCTCCCCCCAGAGTGAGAATCCACTGAGGTTGCGCGTAATTACTTTGAGATTAGAGGTAAATCCATCGGAGGTTAGGAGGAATCCATTGAAAGGAGAAGTAATTACTGGGCTGTAATTGTTTCCCTCCATCCCCCACCGTGCCCCCCCCCCAGCCCAGGAAGGTGATACAGGGGTTTGTAATGTCACCACAGATATTTACCTCAGTCACACCCCACTACAGTTTGTGCTACACTTTGTAGGCAGGAGTGTCACCATTTCCTCTTGGGCATTGCCAGGTGAAGGTTTTTTGCCCCCAAACAAGGGCTCTGATAATGCATTTCTGGTTTGGTTTTGGAGGTTTTTTGTTTATCAGTTGCTTTTTTGCACAGCAAAGCCAAAGAAACTGCTGAATTTTTAATAGTGTACTTACATTGCTATTTGGGATAATTTTGAGAAATCAGGGCCTTATTCCTACCGACTTTCCCATTAAGCAGCAGTGAAGAAAAGAGCTTTTGCTAACCATCTTGAAGTCAGCTTCCTAAGCTTGTATAAAGCCTGGCCTCTATTCTGACCACTTAGATTTGGGTTGTCTCAAATGTGCAGGCTCTTTCAGTTAATCAAAATTTTGCCGTTTTAATTCCGGAGTGAATTTTTAATTGGAGCGAAAGGTGGGCCTCTAGTGGTGGGAGGAGAAGTAAATTTAGAAGGTAATTTGGTCTGTCCAAGCCTGTGGTTTGAGTCAGAACATAACACCTGAGTTGGGAGGACCTGTTTCAGTATTTAATGGCTGATAGCAAGCACTGTATTAAGTGGAGATTTGGCCACAGGTGGATCAGTTGTCTCTGTCAGATGGGTCAGTGGCGGCTCAGGCGCGAAGGAGAGTTCTTAGCGCAGAAAATATGTAATGCAGGAATCAGGAGCGACATCCTCCTTGAAAGGACCGGCTACAGAATGAAAGGTTTTGGGGTGGGGAGTGAAAAATCAAATGAGGCCCTTTCTTGCAGAGGAGGTGTCCCTGGGAGGGTCAGGCCTGTTTGGCAGGGCAGCGTGTTGAAATGAGGGCGGCATTGTGCCAGCTAAATGAGGGACTGCTGATGCCACCAGGTTGATGTTTGACACAATAGCTCAATCCCTATCCTTTCTTTTCAAGGAAGTGGGGGGAGAGGAAAACGGGGAAAGAAAAATATATGTACATAAGCACCCTACTGTTTTCTGACTTGGTCATGTCAGGTTTTTTTCAAGAGCCTCAAACCCGCCCGTCCCTGGGGAGGCTGAGGAGCTCCGCCGACAGAAAATGGTGGGGATAATGAGAGAGAACTTTGACCCTCAGGCTTCAAAGTTCACCAGAGCTCCCTATTCATCTTGGGCTTCTGGAGCAGAGCCGTGGAGGGGATGACTAAAATTCTGGCCGGTAAATTCCACGTCAGCCTCCCCAAAGGGTCCCGGGGGAATTTGTTGAGGCATCTCTTGGCTTTTAACGGCAGAGTGCCACGAGCGAGGGCTCCCGGAATGTATTCGCCAGGATACCTGCTGGGCAGCACTGCTGCTTTATCTGAGCTTCCCCCGATGAATAGCTGAGTGTGTTTCACCACTGTCTGTCTGCCAGAGCTTGCCATCGTGCCACAGGGCAGTAGAGGACAAAGCTTTAGCTGTGGATGTCCGTTTTCTGCTCGTGTGTCTTCATCATCATCATCATCGTCGCTGCCCCTCATTTGTGAAAAGAAGAAAAGGTGGGGGGGAAAGGCTGAAGCCAACCTTTTTGGTAAGGGCAGTTTACCCCTTTTATATATTGTGTGGTTTAGATTGGATTTCAAATCAAAGCACAGTGCTTTTCAAATCAAAGCTTCCCCTGTGGGAGAAAGAATGGCTTCTTAAATGGGCGAGAAGGAAGGTATGATGCCCATCCAGAACACACCTGGGACATAAACCCCTTGTGTCTACACAGCAAGGTTGATGTTTGCTGGCTGCAGTCTTTAACCTTCCTCCTCACTGGTCTGGGGATTTGTAACTGTGATCCAGGGGGAAAAACTTACCTTTATTTCCTTGAAAGGGGTGTGGATTCACCTGGTCTGCCCGATTCATCCAACAGGAGCCACAGTTCCAAACCCTTCCTTCCTTAAATGCAGTGCTGGCTGGGTGAGCAGCATGAGCCCCCTCAGAGGGGGCACCAGCAGTGCTGTTCTATCCTCAAATATACTGGAGGATGCTTTTTGTTTTTATAAAAAGGCAGCATTTCAGCCTGGTAAGGAGTCGGATCCAACCGCAGGTTGAACTTTGTGCAGGAGCTTCAACAGTAAATTATATGGACACATCTTCTCAGAAAACCCTACAAACCCCAGAGCCTGTAAAATTCTTTAAGACTTCAGGTGTCATTTGAGCTTTCTTTGCTTGGCCATTTCCTCCAGGAAAGGTGGTCTTGGTGAGAAATGGGAGGCTGCTGAGAACGTCCTCTGTGCGGGGTGGGGTATCTGAAGGGTTGTGGCTCCACTCACTTTCCTCAGGTCCCACTGTACTCAGCATTTTTCTCAGAGCTGCAGCTGAAATTTTGGATTGTTATCAGCTCTTATATATGATTTTCCTGAATTCTTTGGGAACAGAAAGCCTGCCTGCAAATCAGATATTCCAGCTCTCCTCGTGTTTCAGAGAGCAGTGTGGTGGCTGGGCCGTGTGGCCATTCGGCACTGGGAGCTGGCTCCAGCCTTCCCAGTCAGGAATATCTCCCCCCACCAAGCCATCCTTTCAGCTCAGCCTTGTTTCCAGGGCTGTGTTACCTCAGGCAGTTTCAGTAGCTCCCCAGTGTGTTGTTTGTGTTGCCTGAATAGAAATATTCCTGCCCTTACATATTCCTAGAACACCATCCTGTATGCCTGTTTTCCCCCCCTGCTTTTGCTTCTCAGGAATGTAAAGCTGGATATTAGCTGGCTCTGGAAGCCCTTCTAACTGGCCTTTCCTATCAATAACTAATTCTTAAATTAGGCTTTGGTAAACACAGACTCAGACTGACAAAAGGAGGTGTCCAAGATCAGCGCATGTGTAAGTTTTTATTGTAGTTAGTATTGCATCCATTAACATGCCTAAAACATTGGTTAAGATAGAAAAAATGGTCTGTAGGCACAGTTACAAAATCTTCGTATAGTAATTTCTCATTACCATCATGGTGATGAGATGATGCCCAGTTTTAGTACCCACCACAACTTGCATTCTTTCTTCAAAGCTGTATTCAGAGCAACATTCTCCTTTCTAACAGTATTACCTGCATTTCCCAGAGCTTTCATTTCTTAATTATTACATGTTTATTTATATAAATATATTTATATTTATATATGTATATATATTTTTATTTATATACTTTGGGGGGGGTAAAGATACCAAACAGGAAAGAGCAGAAGAGGCTTCTCTGAAGTGGTGTAGCTGTACAGATCACTCA